CCAGCCGGCGGCCAATGGCAGTGGGGGGGCGGGGCCGGCGCGGCTGGTCAGTGGGCCTGCGGTTTGCACGCGCTCGCGGTCTTGTTGCGCGCAGTTGCGCTAGTGCCCGCGTGGCCGTGCCTTGCGGGAATCCTGCACCCCTCGCCGCGCACGCTCCAGCGCCCAGGCACCCATGCCCGGTGCATACACGTGCATCGCTGTCCACCTGCTCTCCCTGTTGCACGTGCACCTGCCCCCGCCTCTTTTTTGCACGCAGCCGTCCCCGCGTGTGTACACACGGCCTTGTGCTATGGAATCTGCCTCCCCGCTTCCCCGTTCTGCACCAGCCCCTGCGCCCAATCTGCCAGGCCTTGCACCTAGGGCTGGGGGGTCAGTGCCTGGGAAGCCCCCTGGCCTGGGATGGGCCTGGCCCAGGAGCCGGGTGTCGGGGCAACCCAGGGCACCTGTCCGTTGCCCTCTGGCTTCCCCCCAGGTTTGGGGTGACCCCCAAGCCCTGCCTGCCTGCGCTTCCCCCCCCCCCAGGCCTGACATTGATGGACGAGGCCCGGGAAGGCCCTGCCTGGCGCTGCCGGGAGCTGGGGGGCTGTGCCGGCCTGGCCCTTGCCTCCCGCGCATTCCTGGCAGGGGCCGCGGCTTCCTGGCTTGGGCAGGGGCTGGCTGGGAAGGGATGCAGGACCCCCCGGGAGAGGATCCTCAGAGCCAGCCTGGACCCCCAGCCGCATCCCCCCAGGCCATGAGAGCAGGCGGGTGCGATACACAGGCTTTATTACAAAAATTAGAGCTCTACAGATAAGGTCCTTGCGCGGCCGCCCAGGGGGACGGGGTGGGCTGCCCCCCGCCGGCTCCGTCCACGCGCTGCGGCTCCTCCTGCGTGCACAGCTCTCGCTCCAGGGACAGGGCTGAGCCCTCGCTGCTCGGTGCAGGGGTGGAGGCTCCGCGCTGGGGGGGCAGGCGGGGCTGCGGGCCAAGCTGGGGGCTCTGCACCCCCGCAGGGGTGCCTGCATTCAGCCTCCAGGCCCTGGGCACCAGGGAGGGGACGCAGAGGCCATGGGGTGCCCATCACTGCTGGCTCAGGCTGGGATCCTGGGGCTGCGGTGGGGGTCCTGCTGGAGGATCCCAGGCAGCCCCTAGAACCAGCAGGCTCAGCCCCGGGTGCTGCTCAGGTACTCGCCCAGCAGCCAGTATGTCCGCACCTTGCCCTTGCCCTGTGGAGAGCACCGTGGTCAGGCAGGAGAAGCTCCCCACATGCAGGGCCCCTCCCCCAGGCAGCCTGGAGCGGGGCAGGGGACAAGGGACCCCGGGACACCCCCCTCATGGGCAGCAGTGGCTGGGGTGGTGCTGGGGGGCAATGCCCAGCATCACCTTCATCTCCACGTCTCCACGCAGCTCCAGGTGGAAGCAGCCAAACTCCTCCAGCACAGCGCATGTTGCCGCCGACAGATGGATCTTCAGGGCTGGACCCAGACACAGCCCATCAGCACCATGGGGCGGCTCTGCCCTGCCTGCCTGCCTGCCTCCCACCCTGGTACCATGCCACGACCCCCATCTCCCCCCAGGTCTCGGTTGCAGCTCTCTCCCCCGGCTGGTTACCTTCCCCGTTGGACTCCATGCGCGAGGCCGTGTTCACTGTGTCCCCAAAGAGGCAGTAACGTGGCATCTTCAGGCCAACCACCCCCGCACACACAGGCCCTGGGGTGGGGGACACAGACAGAGGTGCTGAGCAGGGTCCTGGCATGGGGCTCCTACCACTTCATCCCATCCCCGGGGCTTTGCATGCTCATACATGTACATGACCCATCCAAAGAGCCCTGTCCCACCAGGGTCCAGGCTCTACCCAGAGGCACGGGGACGGGGATGCCCTGAGTCGTGGGGGTCCCTGGATCCCTGCTGAGCTGACCCCACTCACCAGTGTGGAGGCCAATGCGCAGTCGGAGTTGTTGGTCAGGGCGGTGCCGGATCCGGAAGGAGCGCACAGTGTCCAGTAGTGCCAGTGACATGCGGGCGACCTCGCGGGCGTGCAGCTTCCCATTGCGCACAGGCAGCCCTGACACCACCATGTATGCATCGCCGATCGTCTCCACCTGTGGGTGGGCAAGGGGGACATGGCTAGGACCCCCCTCATTCTCCCCAGCCCCATTTCAGGGTCTGGCCCTTGGCACCTCCAGGCTGCCCCTCAGGCAGCACTTCCTGGTGGGGACCTTGGTGCCCCCAAGGACCGAATCCAGGAGTCCCAAGTGCCTTGGCAGAGAACCCAGGTGTCCTGGCTCTCTGCCCCTCACCTTGTAGACATCGAAGTTGTCGATGATGGCATCAAAGCAGGTGTACAGGTCATTCAGCAGTGTCACCACCTGCCGCAGGGGGGTGCAGCCGTGAGACCCCCTCACCTGCCCAAGACCCCCTACCCTTCCTGGCTTGCATTAAGGCAGGGTGTTATGCCCTCCCCGCACCACCCCAGAGCTGGCTGCGTCCAGGACCCCTGTACCAAACAACCCCCCAGCTCCCTGCCTGGGGGTGCTCCCCCGGCCCCTCCACCTGCATGGGGGTGCTCTCGGCTGACAGTGCTGTGAAGCCAACGATGTCGCTGAAGTAAATGGTGACGCTGTCGAAGGCCTCGGCTTGCACCGTCTCACCGCGCTTCAGCTGCTCGGCCACGGGGCTGGCGGGGAATGGGTGAGTGGGGGTACCGCCAAGCCCCTCGCTCTGCCTGAGGAGGGTGTGGGGGGCAGTCGGGGCCCAGAGAAACCCCCCTGGCACTCACTGGGGCAGGATCTGGTAGAGCAGAGCCTCGGCCTTGCGCTTCTCCTCCAGGTAGGCCTGTGTCCGCTCCTCCACCAGCTCCTCCAGGTTGTTGGCATACTGCTCCATGCGTGACAGCAGGTTGTCCAGGATATTGCTGCTGTTCTCCCTGCAAGGCATGGGGCCAGGGCCTGCACCAGCGCTGGGCAAGCGGGTGGAGGACACCTCCACTCTCCCCTGTGTCCCCCCTGCTCCCCACCACTGCCCCGACTTCCCAGGGCTAGGGTGCATAACCCTGCTTACATGTGGACCATGCTTGGGGATACCTGCGTACCCTCCAGAGCCAGATGGTGGGCGGGGGGCAGAGCCTGGGGAGCGGCTGATGGGGGTCTGGCCATGATGGTGGGAGATAGCTGATAGGGTCTGGCTGTGATGGGGGGAGTCTAGGAGGGATGGGAGGCATCTGGCTGCAAACAACTGATGGGGTCTAGCTGTGATGGGGGGTCTGGATATGATGGGGGAGGTGTTCTGGCACTGATGGGGAGGGGGCTAGTAGTGATAGTTGATGGGGTCTGGCTGGGATGGGGGGGTCCAGCCATGATAGTGTGGGTGGGGTTCTGGCAAGTCTAGCAGTGATAGCGGATGGGTTCTGGCCAGGATGTGGGGAGCATAGAAGCGGCGGCAGGGGGGAGCCATGATGACTGATGGGATCTGGCTATGATGGAGGTGTTTCTGGCAGTGTTGGGGTCTGGCTGTAATGGGGATCTAGTCGTGGTGGGGGGAGTCCAGCAGGGATTGGGGCGGGGGGGG